CCTCTCAGGCCCTTGGGCTCTGGTCTTCCCTATGTCTGCCTCGTGTCTTGGGGGTTGGGTCTCCGGTCCTCCACTCCACAGTCACTATTAAATATTCCATTGGAGAAATCTTGTATATACACACATGTTCACAACTGCTCACAAACAGGTGTTCTGATCCGGGGGGTTCTGACAGGTCACTGAGTGTGTATACTGTATGTCTGCTTGTAAATACTGACAATATTTATGAATGTAGGCATGCATGTATGTATATCTTTATATATGTATGGGTATGTGTATATATTTATATATGTATGGGTATGTGTATATATTTATATATGCCCTCCATGTATTTATCCATTTATTTTTCAGGTGAGCGGACAGATGTTGGGTGTGTGGTCCTGTGTTTTGTTGGTGTATATTTAATATAMTYCTAATCGCTATTTCAGTCTTTCTACCTTTCTAATCACTTCTCTCTCTGTTTTTCTCTCTGTCTCTATTTTCTCYWCWYWWAAAAAACATTTCATAATAATGGTGTGGAGAAGATGGCTATAAGGGGAGAAGGGAGGCCATCAATAAAAAAACAATAGGCTTGATTAGCTCTATTGTTCATAGAGGGTGTGCCCCATCACCTGACTTATTGGTTTGGATGCTGTGGTTCTTGGTTTTCTCTGTCCAAAAATATATGGACCTAACTGTATGAATTATGAGTTACAGCCAAAGTTAAGAAGCTCTTGCTGAAGTAATTCAAACTTTTTTGCGAAATTTTAACTTTACCAGTTTGTTTTTTACATTCATGAGTGATTTTTAATCACAAGCACAACACTGCCTCAGAGGATCTGTCATGTGTGTTAGTGATGTGCTGATCTATACTGAAATATTGATACTACCTAAACCAGCATTTTATGTTATAGAATCAATGCTAAAATCAAAATATCGATACTTTGATACTTTAGTTATTTCACATAATGCAAATCATTAACAGGAAAATTGTGGAAAAACTTAACTATTCCACACTTGTCTTGATCATATGTTCACTCAGTCTGTAGATGGCCCATCTCAAAGCTTCCATTATTATCAAAAATCCTGGAGAAAATTTGTTCACTCTCAGTTAAAATCCTTTCTAGATGAACATAGCATCGTAGATGTGTTCCAGTCTGGTTTAAAAACTCTTCATAGCACAGAGTAAGCTCTGCTTAGAGTTTTTAATGACATTCTCCTGGCATGTGATTCTAGCGATGACGTGATCCTTGTTTYATTAGATTTAACTGCTGCTTTTGATACTGTGAATCACAACATTTTATTGTCATGCCTGCAGCACCAAATAGGCATTGGTAGCACTGCTCTGGAGTGGTTAAAGTCCTATCTGGCAGACAGAACATTTTCTGTAAAAATTGCAGGGTTTGAATCCACCTCTGCCCCTCTGCCATGTGGGGTTCCCCAGGGCTCCATTCTGGGACCTTTGCTTTTTTCTTTGTACGTCTTTCCTTTAGGTTCAATTTTTAGAAAACACGGCATCTCCTTTCATTGTTATGCTGATGACTGCCAAATCTATGTGCCTCTAAGACGAGCTAATGCTTGGTCCATTGATCCTCTTCTATTATGTCTCAAGGATCTCAAAGCTTGGATGGACTTAAACTTTCTGCATTTTAATGAAAAAAAGATGGAGGTGCTTGCTTTTGGACCTAGTGGAGCATGCCAGAGTCTTTCAGTCAACTTAGATTTTCTTGCACCATACCTCAGGCCCACCGCCACGAACGTAGGGTTTAAGATGGACAGTGAGTTTAAACTCAACAATCAAATAAAGGCCACAGTRAAATCTAGTTTTTATCACCTGCAGAAAATAGCCAAGATAAAACATATTCTGTCAAACCATCAGTTTGAAACAGTAATCCATACCTTCATTACATCATGGCTGGATTACTGTAATTCTCTTTATTTTGGTGTTAGCCAGTCATCCCTCACACATCTGCAGCTGGTGCAGAATGCCGCTGCCCGTCTTTTGACGGGAACACGTAGAAGACAACACATTACTTCTGTCCTGGCTTCTCTCCACTGACTACCCATATGTTTTAGAATTCATTTTAAAATTCTTTGGTTTGTTTTTAAGGTTTTAAAAGACCTTGCTCCACCATATTTAACAGAGCTCCTCCATCATTACACTCCCTCTCATTCCTTTAGGTCTGCTGACCATCTGCTCCTGGCCGTTCCCACATGTAAGAGGAAGCTTAGAGGAGAAAGAGCTTTCTCTGTTTGTGGCCCTAAGCTCTGGAACACCTTACCATTGTTCATCCGACAGGCCCCCTCATCGTCCATTTTTAAGACCTGTTTGAAGACACACTTTTACTCATTGGCCTTCAACCCAATTGAGACTTGATTTTATTTAATTTTAGTGATTTTATATGTTTTATCTCCTTTTTATTTCTATTTTTTGCATTTTTGCTTTTGTTCAGCACTTAGTTCAGCTGTGGCTGGTGTTGAGGTTCTTTTTTAAATAAAGTTGATGATGATGTATGACAGGTCATTTTAACATAAAATCTGCTTCGTTTGACTGTTGTTACATTCTGCATGAGGAGATCCCAAACTTTTTCATGCCATGGCCCCCCAAAACAGCATTAGTTCTGGCCAAGGACCTTCTTGAAAACCCACAAACAATGCTACAAGATAAAAAAGTAACAACTTTTAGAATGTTTTTCTCACTTTTATTCACTATTCAAAAATTATTATATTTCTTCAGAATAAGAATTTTAAATTGTGCTAAACAAATATAAGGTTAGGGCTTGAAAGACTTAATTAAATAAGTTACTATTTCATGTATATTTATAAAGCGTTTTTTTTGAAAAGGCTACTTTTTAAGATTCACCAGACACATTATGTGTGTTATCACAAAGTACCAGTATCGGATCAGTATCGTCGATACCAGACAAATTTTATTTGGTATCAGTATTAGAAAAAAATTGGCAGTATGGAACATCACTAATGTGTGTGTTGTGTGTGTCTGCAGGCTGTCAGGCTGTCTCATCACACCGGAAGGATGTGCTTCTCTGGCCTCAGCTCTGAAGTCCAACCCCTCCCATCTGAGAGAGCTGGACCTGAGCTACAATCATCCAGGAGCCTCAGGAGTCCAGCTGCTGTCAGCTGGACTGAAGGATCCAGACTGGAGACTGGACACTCTCAGGTATGGAGAGAGCTGCTGCAGACACACACAATGTCTGATAGAGGAGGAAGAAGTGGAGACATCTTGTCTGYTCTTCACTCAGCTCTGTCATTCTGCTTCATGCTGGACATGAGGCWGAKATAAAGAATCAGACMAGTAGGAGCACGTCTTCCTGTYCTTCCTAAAGAAAGTCTGCTGGAAGACAAAGAAAAGATGAAGTGAAATGAAAAGAATGAAGGAGACGAGCACAGGACAGGACTTTAGACATGTTGGACTGGTTCTTTCTGACTGGAGGACACTGTGTGGATGAGAGCCATGTAATGTCCAGGTTTGCTGACAGAGACTGATGCTCTGACCCCCCTCCTCCTTTTAGGGTGGAGCCTGCTGGAGACCGATGGTTGACACCAGGTCTGAGGAAGTGTAAGTGTGTTTTTCCTTTATTCATGACAACAAACCATCTCATCACTCCTTCATGAGTCCTGAAGAACTGATCAGATAATGGATCAATAAGTGAAGCTGGATTGTTTGTTTTCTCCATCAGATTCCTGTCAGCTCACMATCGACACAAACACAGTGAGCAGAGCCCTCCACCTGTCTGACAACAACAGGAAGGTGACTCGTGTGAAGGAGCTTCAKTCATATCCTGATCATCCAGACAGATTTGATACCTGGTCTCAGGCGCTTTGTAGTACTGGTCTGACTGGTCGCTGTTACTGGGAGGTCCAGTGGAGAGGAGATGTTCGCATATCAGTGAGTTACAGAGGAATCCAAAGAAAAGGAGGCAGTGAAGACTGTGTGTTTGGAAACAATGACCTGTCCTGGAGTCTGAGCTGCTCTGATGATGGCCGTTATTATGTCTGTCACAATAACATAAAAGCGTTTGTCTCGTCCTCCTCCTCYKMCTCTSACACAGTAGCAGTGTATGTGGACTGTCCTGCTGGCATTCTGTCCTTCTACAGAGTCTCTTCTGACTCACTGATCCACCTCCACACCTTCAACACCACATTCACGCAAACCCTCTATTCTGGATTCAAATGTTGTGTTGCATCCTCAGTATTTCTGTGTTGAGTTTATAATAGTCTTCTCCTRTCAGAGACACTCACTGAAGAACAAGTAGTTCATTTTGTACACGTGTGCTTCTTTCACTCAGAAACATGATTTCACATGACCTTATCCTGAACAAATTCTGCAGGGTTTTGATTTACTTCCWGAGTTTTTGAGGGGTCCAAGCCCACAGAGCAGGGGAAATGCAGCTGAAAAGCAGCAGTTTCCATGTATCCAGCAGAGCATGGAACCCTGTTGTTTTTGTTCTGTTTTAGTTTATTATTATTATTATTATTATTATTATTATTATTATTATTAAGAACGTGGAGAAAGTGTGATATGCAAATGTTGAGACAAATTCAGTCACAGCTCATCATGAAGGCAGGCAGATGATCCTGGCCTCTTTTGAGGCCCTCCTGCATCAGGGCCAAATGCTTTCTCCTCTACCCCCCACCTCACCAGRTGATGTCCAGGCACCTGCATCAACATCAGCTCCAATCAAGGGTTACTACACACAGAAGTTCTGTTATCAGATTCCACATACCCCCTCACAAAGTCCCCTGATCTACCCCCCTCCTGGCTGGTCTAACCCTGTACCTGGAGTCAAAGGTCAGCCTGTATCTTTCTGGGGCCCATCTCCCAACCATAACACTCTCATTCCAACCTCATCTGTGGCCCCCACAGAGGCTATAACTCAACGAATTGTCTTCTTCCCACCTGCTCAGTAAAGTAATAAAGTCTTTAGTTGGAACAGAGAGAAGTTCCAGAAATCTATAATTTACTTCTGTCTAAAAATTGTGAGTTTACCGGGTTATCCTAGGCTCTCAGTTTGCTAAAAGTAATGTGACTCTTATTCCCCTCTAAACAAAAGAAAGAGGGGGGGTAAAAGGAAAAGTTTATTATTCATGCATATGCTAAATCAGGAGGAGTATATTTTCTTCCTGTTAGACCCAAGGGGAGAGAGTTCTTGGGGCAYCTGACCTAATAACATCCGTCTGTGGAATAATAGAGCATTTTATCTCTAGTTTTGGATTTCTTTGTTTTGGATTTTATAAATAATAAGGATGCAAACACCTTATAAGTATTATCCTGTTTTGATACTTTTTCACTTTAACAAAACTTTTTGCTAAGAGAGCAAATCCATCTCAGCGTCTCCTGGTGTCTATTTCGAGTCCTCAGTAAGTGTTCTGTATTATTCTGCTGGTTTTATTATAAGGTATAAAACGCACTGGACTGATAACCTCACCGGGGTGTCAGGCACAACCCCCCCTCCGTCATCGGATCTAAAGCCTTGGATTGAGGAGTGGTTGAGTTAAAACAGCAGGAGGACAAGAAAATAGATGCTCAGGTGAACGGGGATCTTTGATTCTTCGGACCTCTGTAAATCTGTGCTCTGGATAATCGATGAACGACAGCATTTATTCTCAAACCAAACAGGCCGTTTTTCTAATCAAAAATTCTACTCGTCTATTGAATAGGGCTAAAACAATCCTAGGAACAGGTGTTTTTAGACTATTATAAGGCGGAGTCAGTAGGTAGGCCCAGCCAGGCCGTGAGAAAGACTATTATGTCAGGATAAAACTCCTGAATAATAGCTGGATTAAACTAATATTAATTAGGTTTGTGACAGAAGGACTCAGGCCCCAGCTAGCCTTACAATTATTATTATTATTATTATTATTATTATTATTATTATTATTATTATTATTATTTTCATCAGAAAAACTCATCCTGCAGCCTAAACCAGAAGGCCTACAGATGGTAGTTAGTATGGCTTGTTCATGACATGTTTGCCTATAGGGGGCGCTATAATAAATGTATTTCCATTTGGTTCTTTAACTTCTAAACCATAAGTTTCAAAGTTTTAGGGCTTACATCTCACAATCCCTGGTCACTACTGAATCACGTGGTACAGGCCATGCCTACTTCTGCCTATTTTTCTACAACACAAAAAATGCCTCAACTTTTTTAGTGTCTTTTCAAATATTTAAATTCAATTACCACTGAAACTCACCATCCTATAACTTGTTCACATGGTGATTCTAAATTTCAAAGGACAAGTTTTAAAATAAAAAATGCGTGAGTTACRACAAGGCAAATAGCTTAGGCAAGCTAGCTAAACACAAATGCTGCCTTATCTTAAAAACTGTAGCACAAGATTAGACAAAAATCATACTCCAATTACTCAAGTCAGATCTGAGTTAGTAGACCAAACCATTTTCCAAGATGACAATACATCGTGCCATAGGGCAAAAACAGTGAAGGCATTCCTTGGAGAAAGACACACTCACTCCATGTCATGGCCTGCAAATAGTCCAGATCTCAACCCAACTGAAAACCTGTGGTGGAAACTGAAACAAATGGTCCAGAAGAAGCTCCGACCTGCAAAGCTGATCTGGTAACTGCTATCAAAGAGAGTTGGCACCAAACTGATGAAGAATACTGTTTGTCACTCATCCAGTCCATGCCTCAGAGACTGCAGCTGTTAGAAAAACCAAAGGTGGTGCAACTAAATACTAGTGTTATGTTTTGAATGGTCTTTTTTATCTGTTTTTCATGATTCCATACATTTTTCCTCAGAATTGAGTGATTCCATATTTTTTCCCTGTGCTTGGTCAATAAAAGTAACATTCACTGACTTCCACAATGTTTTCTCTTCATTTCTTTGAGTGTTCCTGAAATCCAACAAGTTGACCTTTGGAATGACCTTATTATTGTTTCATGTTTTTGATCTGAGTTTGTTTTACAGAATGAAATGTCTGAATGAGTGCTCATCCAAGACCGCTGATTCCAGACTTTTTGCCAGGGGTTGTATGTGCAGCTTGCTACCTAGCTAGCTCGCTAGCTGGGACTGGCGTGAGGCTATTGTGAAGTGTGTCCACTTGTGAGTGCTTTGTGATGGTGAAGGGGCTCAGCAGCACCCTCTGGACAGAAGAAGTCACAAAGCGTGATAGAAGTCAGTCTCCAAACACAAGCAGCTATGAAACACCCACCACAAATAGAAGCTCGATTTGTCGCTAGTTGTTTTTAACAAAGAAAATACTGCTAAAACGAATTAATAAAGTCTCCGGTTCAACTCAGAACAGAAATGAAAGTAAAAAATGATCCCATGGAATGTTTACACCAAAAGATTGCTGATTCGTGCATTTCGCTGTCAATCAAAAAGGGATTCAGCCTCCRACAGATCATCCAGTCATCATGAAGAAGCTGAGCATCCGGGCCTGCCAAGGCCAGCCCACAGCCCCATAGACCCCCAGAGACACTGAGCATCCGTGGGCGGGACAAAGCCAGCATTTATCCAATGACTCGCAGGGCTCTCAAGTCATTGAGAGTGAGACACGCATCTGAAATCTCCACACACTCTCACGCCACACCCCCACTTTCTCACACTGAGAACTGACTAACGCAAAAACTCAACTCCGGTCCAGTTTATCATTATAAAAATTCTAGTATTGATATGAATCCAGTCCACGTTTTCACTTCAACCTGTGGTGTTACACACAGAGACATGTCAGGTTGTTATCCAGTCAGTATTTTTGCACCAATCTTCCATCTAAACAGCGACTCTGTGTAGCGGGAGAGCATGGATCTGCAGACGAGGAAACCCGGTGTGCTCCCCCTCCCACATTAAATGATAAAGGAAAGAGGTGAGCATCCAGGGTACAATCATGTTAGAAAGAAAGGAGAATGATATTAATGGAGCAGAGAAACTAAGAGAGAAAAATTTTGCGTGAGATGCAGCCAAATGACTGCGGTCAAGTGAGCCGACGGTGGGAAACATGCTGTCAAGCCAGCCGACGCTGACTCGCTGTAAAAATTTGTTGCGCTTATCTATGGTGCATTACGGTAACAGAGCCCGAGACGTGCCGTTGCAAGCGGAAATCAAGAAAACAGGAGGAAACACGCTGCAAAATAAACACCAATGTTAATTTATTACATGCATGTTTTTATAATCATGTACCTTATCTAGAATAAATACTTTTTTGTTATTATTTTGACTTTCAACGTGTCAAAATACCTCATGACTATGCTTCTTTATTAATTTTAAATAATTTATTTATAACAAATCGTAAGAGATGAAAACAAAAACTGTTTAGTTTTTAGTTAAAGGGGGACTTATACTA